TCTATTATTATCTGATTAAACTTCGAAATCTAGATAAGAAATAATTAATCAGTATTGTAATATTAACAGTAATAAAATAGTGTAAAGGGGGATTTTGTAAATGTGTTGCATCAAATATGTAAATGACATTGAAATGTTTTTCTTTGTATGTTTGTACACTGCGTTTCGATATTATATCTTAAATTTAATGGAAAAAACACCACCACAACAAATTCCATTTACTTACAGACAGTATTATCTTAGAATGGCAGAATCATGTCCTCCAAAAAGAAATAATTTGTCATTAGTTGGAGTTGATTTCAAACAGGAGTGTACAAGTCCAAGTCCTACTGAAACTGTTTGTTTGGAAAATTTAAGTATTGATAGCGTACCAGGTAAGTGGCAAAAAAAGTAAAAAGAAAACATAATTGTTATCGTTAGCTTTTAGACATTAAAACAAAACGTAGGAGTTTTTATTGTCGTTGCAGTAGTTTTTAAAAATATGTCTTATTGTTTCAGGCCCTTCCCAATTACTAGATGCAAGTGGGGATGACTTAACAAATTTAGATAGTAACGATAAGATTGAAACGAAATCGGAGTTCTTAAGTGAATTAGGCTTAGAGGAGTGTGATGGTGATTGTGAAGAGCATTCTTGGAACAATATTTTTCAGGAAGAAATCGATAATGCAGTTAGAAGTATTATAGATGAAGTAAGCATATACTTGCCATTTTAATTACTATTAAATTGACCTGTTGACTTTTAATGTTGACGTCATTGTTTTAGGACTGTAATGGAATTAATAGCGTCGAAACTCCTTATTCAATGTGCCCTGCAACACCAAAAAGTACATTGAAGGCGGCATATGATCGAAGGGTACGCTAATGCGTTTTTATTTTAATCCTTTTGTGTATAGGGTAGATCAATAATTTATATGCTCTCTAACGGGAACTTCGTTTTTGACAGTTATTTTTTTTATCCACTCTGTACAATGCAGTTAGTAGTATTTCCTGTGATGAAAAAGTTTGTTTGAGTTGGTTTGTGTTGACCAACATATGATCTATGACTAATCTTCTCTCTGATTGATAAAATTGAACACCATGATTATTGTAATGGAGCCATTAAACGCACGCTATCTTTTTTTTTGTATAATAGCTGTTTTTTTTTGTTTATAGAGAAAACGAAAATTGGACCTTCAAAATGGGCATCCGTGCAAAAAAATGTTACCAGATAAAAAGGCCACAGAGTTATCTAATAAAGCGCAAAGTGAAATTCAAAACGTCGTCGTACCCTCGCCGCCAATTCAGTCAGAAATCCCCTCCAGTAATAATCAGTCGGTCGTCACTACACCTGTTGGCGATAAGATGAAAACTATTAGAGCTGTTATTCCGACAAAGGACAATCCGCCCCCAGAATTAGGAGAGTGGATCACGCAGTTTCAGGTACGAATTTAATAACGACATCTTTTATAGCATAAAATCTTCTTTTTATTCATTTCATTATTATATTATTATAATTGTCCTGTATGCATTTTTTTGTATCGTTTTTGCAGAGATGGTCTAACGCAGAAAGATTGTTAGCAATAGACGAGCTGATCACTCGCTGCGAGCCCACGCAAGTGAGGCACATGATGCAAGTGATCGAGCCCCAGTTTCAGCGTGATTTTATCTCGCTATTGCCTCGAGAGCTGGCACTGTCTGTTTTGCGGCTGCTTGAACCTGCCGATCTTTTGCGTGCTGCTCAAACGTGTCGTAGCTGGCGCTTTCTTGCTGACGACAACCTCTTATGGAAAGAAAAGTGCAAGCAGGTCGGCATCGAAGACATACCCAAACGTAAGATGTCGCCCCGTTGTCCCAATAGTCATACTTCGCCCTGGAAAGTAAGTTTATTATTTGTTTACAATCTTATTTTCTAGACCTATAGAGATCCTTTAACTTTTATGGTTTGTTTGAAACAGGCAGCTTATATGAGACACCACGCGATTGAAATGAACTGGCGTAGTAGACCCATCAAACCCCCGAAAATGCTCAAGGGCCATGACGATCACGTGATTACGTGCCTTCAGTTTTGCGGAAACCACATCGTTAGTGGATCTGATGACAATACATTGAAAGTTTGGTCCGCGACAACAGGAAAGGTAAACAATTCGTTTTCCTTTACCTCAAATTGTTTTTTTATATATATATATATAAGAGATTGAATTTAATTACCTTACTGTTTAGTGTTTGCGAACCTTGGTTGGACACACAGGGGGCGTGTGGTCTTCCCAGATGTCCGGCAGCATAATAATAAGCGGCAGTACTGACCGTACTTTGAAAGTATGGGACGCTGAGACGGGAGTTTGCATTCACACCCTGTACGGACACACATCCACTGTGCGTTGCATGCACCTTCACAAAGATAAGTAAGTCATAGTTTATTTATTATACGTTTTAATTTTTGCATTGAAACAAAATTTTCTATACATAATTGGACAGGTTAAAGTTTTCGTTCCAACATAGAAAGGGTCTACTACTTACTATACCACTGCCATCAATTGAAGGCAAAAACAATATGCAATATAAGCAAAGGGTATTCAGCTTTTTCTGTGGTTTCCCCTAATTAGTTAATTAAATGCTGCGGCAGCATTATTACACAGATAATCTTTAATTTCCCTCCCACCCTTCCCCTCTGGCCTTGCATTATAGTGGCAGTTGGATTAGTAGCTGGTACGCATATTTTTTTAAGATTTATTTTAGCCCCCTTGGTGTTAAATTCTAGTGCAGTCTAGCGAGTCAGTAACAAAGTATAATTTTTTATTGCATCAGTAAAGAACATACAATTTGTACAAAAGTAAGAGTTTTTTAGATGTTAGTGTTCGATATTAAGTTTCTAGTATTATAAAGACATATGCTATGAAGGTCGAAAAAGTGTTTTTTTAATTTTATATATTAAGACATCTTACAAGTACCGCATTCATATTTAAATAGAAAACGATTAGGTACATTAATAAATTCTCCGCCTTTTTCTATACGGATTTTTTATTAATTCGTCAATAGAGTATTCTATTTTATTATTATTTTGGATCTGTGCCGGTTGTGTAGGTAACGTTTGTATAAGGAAGGTCTGCGTACAGTAGTTTTTACCGCTAGTACCCTTTTTAAAATTGTTCGGCTGATTTTTTTTCTTCGTTATAATATTATTGTCAGTATTACGCTCAGCTGTTGCAAACCTGCCGTGTTTTTCTTTAAGAATACTGAGACTTGATGCTTTCTTTTCTTTAATATTTTTACGGTTATTGCGCCTTGAATTCCAATTATCCAAATAGCAAATGTCTTTTAAATCGTTATTGACGGATTTGGTCATTGTAGATCTGAACTTGTCTTTGGTAATCTCTGCATTTTCTGAATGCGACGTCTTAAGCGTTTCGAAATTATTCCTAAATTGTCGATTTCTATTTTCCCTGTTGATTTTTTCTTCATTTTTGTAACTTTGAGAAGATTTTGCCCTGACCCTTATATCGGGCCGATTTTTTGGCATTTTATAAGCATGTCTTAAGTCTAAAGTATTACCGATTACTGTTTCTTTCGATTTATGAGTTTGTTTACATCGCACCACTTCGCTTTTCACCGATCTCACGTCCGAGGTTTGCAATATCTTGTGACTTTTGGATTTGTATTCGTTTTTANGATAATTAATAATAAACAATTATAGGTAAACTATGGAAGAGTTGGAATGTAGGGTGTGGCTCTGTTTAATAAAAAAATATGTAAAAATGTTCTTTTCGTTTTTTTTTAATTGTGCATATTGCACAAGTAGATAAAGAAATATTCAGATAAAGTAATTTAAACAAAAAGAACTTTATTATAAAGTAATATTAAACATAAAAAGGGTACTAAAAAGAATCAAATACGTTATGTTTGAGAACTTTACCGTCAAAACCGCATGAATACAAGAATTTATTATGCCATGAAAATCCTCTTACGAAGCCTTTGTGTACCCTATTCCGATAAATCGGTGTCAACTTGTCATCGTCGCTTTCCAGAACTAAAAACCCAGGTGAATCCCCTGCCGCTGCTAAATACGAACCATCGTTGAATTTGAGATGGTGCACTTTACATTCAAACCCATGAGCAACGTTTACGTAGTCTTTAGGTTGTCTGATATCTAACATATAAATATCACCCCCTTCACTCCCAACAGCCATATAGTTTGAGTTTGATTCATTCCATGCAATTGCTGTTAGCGAACCAAATTCATTTGCATATAAAACTAAAGAATACACAGATACATAAACGAAAACAGGAGATATTTAAAAAACGCGAATATAAATATTAAATTACCTGATGCAGGAGTAATGGGTTGTCGTATATCCCAAAGAACTGCTTTACGGTCCATTGAAACTGAAGCAAACAATCCCTCATCATCTACTTTAGTTGCAATATCTGTAACTGGCTCTGTATGGTAATTTCTTTAACAAAAATGTAATTTTCTTATTTGTTATTATAATCTACATAACATTTTCTTTTTACCTGAATTCCTTTACTGGATTAGTTAATAAGTCATCGTTTATTGTCCATAAATGAATAGAATTGTCTGAACAACTAATTACATTATTACTGTCCTTCCATACCGCAATTTTTTCTATTCCATCAACTGTGTTAAGAAGTGCTTCGCATTTTAATGGAGAATTGGGATTATTAGGTACCTTTAAAAGTCTCAATCCCCCAGAATCTTCTACCACTAATAACTGAACAAATGTTTTATATTTCATGTTACAGATAAAATAAATATAATACCATGTTATCTGTGAAAAATTTTCCATCAGCAATGGATGAATTACTAATAAAGTAGTTTGAATAATTGTGTTCAATAGCAGATAAACCATCTTTATAGAAAAATAGAGTTCCTTCCCAATAGGAGCCAGTTATATTAGAACAACCAACTAAAAATTGACCTGCAGATATGTAAAAAGAAATTGTAATTCAAATTTTTAAAATAAAGTATAAGAGATGATAATTACTAGAATTTTAAGAAAAAGGCTCACCTCTCTTATTAACATCAATAAAAAATAAGTACTGATAAAGGACTGGTTCCGTAGATGGCGTAAATTCCCTCTCGAGTGGTCTATTAGGAGGATATATAACTACCTGCTCTATTTCATCTTTTAATTCCATCTTTTTAATTTAAATGTTTGCACAAAACTCCTAAGAATTTTAGTTTGATTTTGAGGTTACCGTTAAAAATTTTTAGGTTAGAAAACTTTATTTAGATTGGTGTCTAAGCATGAGGCATCTACTAATGTAATTACAAGAGAGATTTATATATCTAATATATTTTATAGCTTTAGTGGTCAAATTAAATGCATGGTACACTTAAAAACCGTTACATTAACAATTTAAACGGGCCCATTTTTAATGAAATGCCCACTAACCTAAGAGAGATTGTCCTTTTTTGATGTAACAACCACTTCCTACTCATGTTAAATCTATAGATTATTCTATGTGTTAAACTATATCTATAGTCCCTTTGTGTATCTATTATCTATGTCTATAGTGTTAAATGTACATAACCTTAAGAGAGGTACACAAACTTCAAATATGTAAAATGTGCAAATGTAATAACATTTTGTAATATTAAAGATTAGTTTCTAAAGTGAATTTGTTGTATTAATAAAGTGTAAACATGTCATTAAAAGAAGACTTATCTTACTTTGCTGAAATTCCTGAAATGAAAAAGACTGTTACTTACCTTTTAGAGGTAGAGACTTTAGCTCAAGAAATTTTAACTGAAAGAAGAGTTCAAATAGCTCTTGCTGATAAGCATAATAAATTACGAGAAGCTTTTCGGACCATTCAACAGTCAGACTGCAAAACTATTTCGATGAAGTTTGGAAATATTTATATGGATTTTAGTAATAAGACATGTAGTACTTTTTTAAAGGAAGAGATGGAAAAAGTTGGTAAAGAAGTAGAAGAAAAGCGACAAGAAATTAAAGGAATGCTTCAAAAAATGAGGGACTTGGAGCACCAACCAGACATAGTTGGGTTTAGTATCAAACCTTTAACAGGTGCTGAAGTAAAAGCAATATGTAAAAAATCTGGTTATTAAATTTTCTAATTTATTTTTATAAAATAATAGGCGTAATAAAAAGTTTAAAAAAGAATAATTGATTTTTTTTAACTTTGTTATATTCTGTGTAATAACATTTAAATAAATAACATTGATAAATAAGGCATTGTATGTCCTAATCGTAAATGGGTAGATTAATGAAAGTAAAAAGTACAATCAATAAACGATTAATAAACAAATATTTAATTCAAAGCAATTTTATAAATAAAGCAAAAATACAACTATTAAAAGATTAAATTTAAGAGGAGTGGATGGCGGATGTGTAACCACAAATATTTT